TGGACATTTTTCAGTGACTCTTTCTGCAAGTTACATCTCACTGAGTGAATCATTTGAATCCGTCATTCAACCGATTCATTCAAAAATTTAGAAACAAGTGACTGGCTGTTTCTCAATTGGCATTCCTAAGCAATCTTGCATCCTTGTGTTTTCGTACTACGTCGTCATCAACTGCTGAAAATCAGTTTCAGTGGCCGGATGTGTTGTTGATATCGAGAATGCATCAAATGTAGACTTAAGAGAATCAAACCATTAGAAATCCCAGAAGACGCTGCGGGCGAAAGCCTGTAAACTTTAAACTTCTGGTTCTTTCTCAAGAGATTCCCGCTGCAAACTCGTAAATAAATGACGGCTCGTGAAAGTAAACATTTCTTTGCATAATTTTGTGATAATGACCTGAAGAAAGCTTGTAGTATTTTTATTGACATATTTAACAAATCTTAACATTGACAAAGCATAGGTAACAAATACACATGATAAAGAGATATAAATAATATGAAAATAATGTCTATCCATAATAATAAGAAAGTAAATGTTTTAATAGGCTATGACATGTGTTTGTGATGGTATGTTGTATCTATTGTACTTTTGGCCACTTCTTACAATGTGCTCTGACGTTCAGTTGAGCAACAAGATCACAGCACATCTCAATTCTCACAAAGATGCATTCTGTGTCCTTAGGTCCTTCCGAGTTCGTTCTTCCAAGGTAGCCTGGCAGTATCAATGGTCTCCATGAGAATACAAGTCTGTTCTTTGCATTCTTAGCTTGCTGAGAAACAGCCAGTTTTTATAAATGAGTCATTGAATCATTTACTTAACCAATTGATTTAAAACACTGGATTATTCAATGCTGCAATTGTTCTGCTGAGACTTTTGTTTGAAACTATTTTTGTTGGTGGATCAAAACAAAGTAATGGCAATATTGTGTTTAAAATTGAAGTTTCTAAATCGACTAAATCCACTCTGTAAGAAAGTAGTCCAGTAGTAGATACTGATTTGGTGATCACGTTGTTACCAAACATCTGTAGCAAAAATGACATGATATCAGATTTTGAACAAGACAAAACAAGCTTTTGTTGGACTTTTGACTCAAAACCTCATGGTTACAGATTTGTGCGACAACTAGCCCTGGTCACTTTTACAATAGTAATAGTCTAGTTTTCATTCTGCACTGAAATTAAATCATGCTTGGATTGTTTGTCAAATTGCCTGTGAATTCTGATACCCTCAACTATAAAGGGATTTTTATATTGCAGTGTCAGGCCTGTAAAGGCGTGAGACAGCAATAAAGCCCAACCACCATTATATACAGAGAGCTTATGTCTCTCACAGTGTCGAGATGTTAGTGGTCATGAAGTTCTGAAGGTTATGTGTACAATTACATCTGCCCACCAGGCGTTAAATGCTCATTTCTGTAAATGGCTGCAAATCCATACACCACCTGCTGTACTTCCCATCATAATCAGTGTAGCTTTTACAACACCTCTCCGCTTGTGCATTTTTCTAATAGCCAGACTTAATTACCTGCATAGAGCTTCATATCCTCATTGCAGTAGTTATGAAACATCCTAATTATACTGAATTTCTTGTTAAGTTCGCTTTAGAGTCCTTTTAATGCACGGCTACCTTTTAGCTTAGCAATTCAGAATATCTGCTGCTCTTCTTTCAGCTTTTCTCTTTGAGGATTGCCTTAACTGACAGCGACGGAAACTCTCCTGCTTTTTATTTTTTAAAATGGGTGGCTGTTTTATGATTTGAGGCTTAGCGTTCCTTTTGAGAGAATTATGGGCTGGCAGTTACGTGGCATCTCTCTGTACCCATGCAGCTTGAATATTCAAAGTTAATGCCATTGGCCAGCCTGTTTGATCTTTGTTCATCTGCCTTTGAGGAGACAGAGAAGAGACAGGCAGGTCCCATGCAGCCCCTGAAGAGAGAAGCGTGGGCGTTTTTTCCCCCATTCCACAATAATGCTGCAAAGACAGCACATGCAGATAATTCATTGAACGTTTTCATTGTTGGACAACTCAGGTAATTACTGTTGAAGTGATGAGACAAAACACAGGCAAACACCTCTGTTATGGTATATCTTTTGGAACTAATAAGACAAACTACATCTTTCAAGTGTCCATGCATCCAGCAGAGCAATGCAGGTGATGGGGGGTAGGGTTTATAGTCACATCTTCCTGTGATTGGATGATACATGTGTCAATCAAACAGTAGTGATCTGCTGAATCTTAGAAGGGTGTTTCCAACCAATCACTGTCTGCTTTGATTTCGACGTAAAGTCACATTTATAGCTTAGTCTCAGCCAAAAATCACTTTTGGCTTATTTTTCAGAGATTTGTTAACTTAAGACTTAATCATTCAGTGCAAGCCCATTTCTGCTACAGAATAAAATAGTTTTTAACTGTAATTGTGCCTTTTTTCTTGCATTTCTATTTTTATATCTCCCAATTCAGACTTTGTTTTTTGCATCTGAGGAAAGTGGTGCGAAAAGTAGTTTTTTTCTGTGGTGTAAAAAACAACAACTTCAAATTGTGAGATGTGAACTCAGAATTCAGTGGAAAAAAAATCTGAATTGCGACATATAAACTCGGAATTCTAAATTTTTTCCTCCCAATTCCAGGTTTACATTTCACAATTCTGATTTACATTTGTTTACATTCGCAGTGTAAACATGTTTCGCAATGTTCAACATGTGCTGTTTTTAATGTCAAACGCTAAATAAAAAAATAAAAAGGTAAATGTGACTTTTAACATCTGGCAATTCTGAGTTTATATTGTTTAGATTTTTTTATTTTTATTATTGTTTTTAATTATATATTTTACAGGTATAATTAGTTTAGAAGTGTGAGATATAACTATAACTTATCATTTTTATTCAGTGGATGTGCTTTGTGACAAAGTAAGATTTGGATCCTAGTAAAGTAAAAGTTTATTCATTTTAAAATACTTTGATAAAGTGCAGTCAGATAACTGAAAAATGTATTACCATTAAAAAACATATGTCAAGTGAGCAACCAGTTTGTTAAGGGTCCCCCCCCCAAATGCTGTCTTTTCTTGGGGGGAAAAAAGCATTTTTATTGTTTGTCTTGGTTATGTGCTTGGGATGTACAATGTCTAACCACCAGAAACAATAATACAGAGAAGGAACGGCTTCCTGGAAGCTCCACTAAGAGAGCGTGAACTGATTTTTAAGCTTTAAACATGGATATTTGCTTTGGCTCTTACGCTGTTTAAGAACAAAAACACACTCCCACAGGCACATGGTCTTTTATGCATTTTCCGCTTTAGGTTTGTGAAGTTGACTAAGCACATATTTTGAGAAAACCATTTCACTTTTATTTTGACTATAAAGAGGTTATCAGTCTTTGATTAGGCAACCAACCTCCCAGACAAGTTTTGAGAGTGAATTTGCTCAATTATAACACCTCTCCCCTTAATGTATGTTATGTTTTTAAGTCACAGTTACCAAACGTAACACCGTACCTCATATATTTAACTCATTTGAATCCCTGTCATGCAGAAAAGTTCTTGAGATGCTGCTCAAATGGAGTTCATCCAGAGAGAGTCAAATCCTTTGAAAATCTTTTTAAATGCTAAGCAGAGAATGCCTGCCACAAAGGCTCATGGTGAAATGGCAAACTCAAAGTCTTTGCCTAAAGAAAAATATCAAATTGGCTTTCCTTTCAAAGCTTGAATAGAGATGTCCAATAATAATGCAGAGAATTCATTGCTGATCTAACTGGTGAGGATACACAGACATCAAACAGCGGATAGAGAGAGGTCTTATTCTTAAATGGAGATGGGGCTTTCATATTAAACGCAGTGCCTAATGAGACCATGTGTAGGTACCATCAGTTTGGGTAGCTTCCAGCACTCGATTAGGAAAGGAGCCAGAGGGACCTGTATGAAATGCGTATGAAAGTTTTTCTAAAGTAAACACGCTGTTCTCATCCTGTTCAGACATCCCAGATGACCTGCTAATGAGCTGTAATGCATGATAAATGATATGAGGAAGTAATTAATTATACAACGTGTTATGCATGAGTTAGCAAGCATTTATTTTAACCAATGCAATTTTGGGATATTACAGCTCACTTATTGGCACTAAAATGGCATCTTTCAAACTGAAGGTATCGGTCAGATGCCATTTGTCATTTAAAACCTTTAAAATCACACAAATGCACATACCAAACGGACAATAAAACGGTCTGACTTGACGAAGCAAACAAACAATCCACAATTCAGTTTCATGGTTGGTTGGAATCCAGTTTTTAATAATGAAATGAACCATAAAAAGCACATTTAGAACAATTTCTCATTTTAGTTACAAAAATGGGTCACCGAAAAGGCCTTAGCATTGCATTCACAAAAGGTTTCGAACAAAAAGAGGCCTAACAGATAATTTTTCCCATTAAAAAAAAAATAACCCCACCCAAAATATATAAACTTAACTGTATAACCAAGTTATATACAGGGCACACCATACTTGCATCGGTATGGTTATTTTCAAGATAGTTTGAGGTATGCGACCGATCTACAACTGAGAAAAAAACAAATAACAAACAAAAATTAAATTAAAGTGAATGAATGGAAAGTTTACTTAAATCAAGCACAGGAGACACCATTAGTTGCGTTGCATGTGCTGTTGAATCTTCCTCAAGGTGTTCAGTGGGCCAAACTGCGAGCGACTTTGGGATGGTCAATATATACAAAGGACTTACATTACAATTAATAATAGGGAACAGTTTGAATGCCGTATTTTATTTGCTTAATAATAAGTACACAGTATTCATCCACAAAATATCATTATTTAATTCTTTATTTATTCAGTTCTATAACTTATAAACCTTCGTGAGGGATTTGGAAATTAAGAGCCAGATGCAATTGTGATACACATGCAAGTTTTGAAAGTGGATTCAGAGGCAACAATAATGTACAAAATAATAATTACAGTTTTATTAAAATACATCCTCTTTCTCATAGCACCTCTTTTTTGTATTTTGAACAAGCACCATTGTTGTCATCTTTTTTTCTTTTAATTTATTTTTTCTTTTTTGCGCTGCACCGATAGACTCCGGATGAGAGGTCCTCCCTTTCTCCGTCTCGTGGACCTCCCAGGTTCACCGATTGCCTTGGCTTGACGTTGTCCTTCACCTTTTCATTCCATAGCAGGTTTCATGTGATCCTTGCCCTACAAGGGCAACAAGTATTTTCCTGGGTAATACATACATACAAGGTAAGACGTGTTCGCTACCCCATTTTTTTTATTCAAAACTTGCATGTGGCAGGAACAGGGGCTTGATGGTTTGATGAGATCAAGAAAAAAAGTCTTGACTCATGCGCTAACCCGTCCTACCCTGCCAAGTTATTGGTATTTTTTTCTTTGTCTGTGTTTTTTAGCCAAGGAAGCAGACTGGACCAACTTCGAATCCAAATTTCTGGTTAGGATCCCCAAAGTCAGTGAACATCACATCGATGATCGGAACCTGATCGATCTTGGGAGTGTTAATCTCCAGTACCGTCTTTCCGTAGCCCTTCCTCATCTACAGGACAAGAGAAGGACAGTCAGAAATGTGCGTTGCATATTTAAATGATGCATATTTCAATCTATGATGGAAGACTTACCGCACAGCCGTCTGACAGGGCCTTGATGAAGGGGTTGTTGTCATATGACATCTCCTCATCATTGGAGCCGAGGAAGCGTAGTGCCCTATCGTAGCTGTCCGTAGTGGCGTCGTGCCAGGCGACAGACTGGTGGCAGTTGTAGGTCAGGTTTTGCCTGGCGGAGGCTGTCAGTAGTTTGAGGAAGGTCATCTGGACCATGTTTATCGAGTTGCCTTCTGCGTCAACGTATGAAAGCTTGAGGGTGAAAACAAAAACGATAGAAAGTTTTGCACAATTCGGCAGCAGTATTTTCACTTGGCACATCAAA